CCCGACCCCAAAGGGTCCGCTCCCCGCTGTCTCTGGTCTCAGGGCTCCCGCCGAATCTGTCCCGGCCCAGTCTCTGCTCCTGCTTTCTCTGCACCCCGCCCTCCCGTGGCTCCCAGGACTCCCTCTCCTGTCCCGGCCACCCCATCTCTCCCTGCTTCTGTACAGCTCCCCACCCCGTGCATCGGGGACCCACTTACAGTTCATGTCCCCACCGGCAGGGGTTCCCGAGAACAGGGGCAGGGAGCCGCGGGCCTTTAACCCTTCCCTGTCCTCTGCCTGCCGGGGACCCCGCAGCCCTGGTCAGCTGGGCCGTGCGGCCTGACACATCCTGACTCACCCTCCCTCCTGCCTTTTCCATTCAGACGAGCCGGCTGCCTTGTAGGACTCACACGCAGCCTCGCTCAGAGGAGGGCACGGAGTGAAAAGTTGGAAAAGTTGAAAAGTGGAGGGGGGTGGTCGGAGAGGGGCTGGTGAGGTCATGGCGTCCCCTCCCTCCATCTCCACCGCAGGGGCAGACGCAGCCCGAGCTGGGGCCCAGCGGCGGGCATGCGGGCAGTGATGGGGGGAGGCCAGGCTGGAGCTGGGGGCACGTGCAGACCGGACAACCAGGAGGGAGCACAGGGAGGTGGAGAGCAGGGCCCCTGGGAGTCGGGGTTCAGAGGGAGGTGAAGACAGCAGGGGACGTGGAGACACCCAGAGACCCGTGGGCAGTGGCACAGGGACACTGAGGCGGAGAGAGGAGGCGGGCTGCAGACCGCACCTCTACAACAGCCCAAGCCAGGTGCATGGCAGAGCAGGAGGCAGGGATGGGGGCAGTGGTAACAGACCCGATGCTGGAGGCAGACACTGGACACTGGGGACACAGAAGGCATGGGCAGGTAGGACTCAAAGGTGGAAGAGGACCAGAAAGACACCAGGAACTCAGAGAGAGGGGCATCGTGAGAAGCCCTAGCTGGGCGCAGTAGTGCACGCCTTTAATCCCAGTAAACTGGGAGGTTGAGGCAGGAGAATCTAAAGTTTGAACCCGGCTCAGTCAATTACTGACTTTGCTTCTGTGAGAAGTAAAGAGAGGACTGGGGATGGAGTGCAGTGCAAAGGCCCTGCATCCAATCCCCGTTGCCACAAAACAAGGGAGGGAATGATCAAGACGGTCCCTCCAGGCAGGACCCGCATGCTGCTGCCCCACCAGGCCTCAGTTCCCTCAGCTGAGAAATGAGAGTAATGAGGGCAACGCTTGCACCACGTGCCACAGTGAGAATACGGCGAGTTCGTCCATGGGAAGCACAGTTGAGCCAGGGGTGGTCAGCGCCACGACCCTTTGCTAACAACAGCCTGGGGAAAGATGGGCGAGACAGACACCAGGGGCTTCAGAGGCACAGCCAGTGAGGAGGGGCTCGGTGACGGCCCTGCACCCTTCCCAGGGAGGAGCTGGCCAAGACAGAGCCGGGATGGGGCTGAGCACAGGGAGGGCCAGACACCAGGCCGGGCCTCTCAGCGCACACCACTGGCTCACTTGCTGGGGGCGCTCGGCCCAGGGAGGTGAGGTCACAGCCCCCCCTGCTGGGAGATGACCTCATCGCCTCAGGTGAGAGCCCTTCCCTGGTGGGCCAGGCCACCCCTGGGGCCCCAGGACCTCCCCAGCCCTGGCTCTGCAGGGACCCAAGCCTCTGACCACTGGGTCCACCCCTCAGGGGGCCTGTTTCCGGCTGAGTCAGCGTGGGTACCTCATCGCCTCAGGTGAGAGCCCTTCCCTGGTGGGCCAGGCCACCCCTGGGGCCCCAGGACCTCCCCAGCCCTGGCTCTGCAGGGACCCAAGCCTCTGACCACTGGGTCCACCCCTCAGGGGGCCTGTTTCCGGCTGAGTCAGCGTGGGGGGCCCCCGGCTGCGTCAGGGAGGGGAGAGTTGACGTAGCCCCCCCACCAGACCGGCGGGGCCAGCCAAGGTGACTCAGGCCACCAGCCGGGGGGATGGACAGGCCAGAGGGGATGGGACTGGGCCTGGGGCCAGCCCGGAGCAGCACCAGGGACCAAGGAATGCCAGCCACTTGCACTGCGGGACCCAGCAGCCCTGTCCCCACCCGCATTCCACTCTCAGAGCCCCACGGTGGGGTGGGGCAGGCCCAGCCTCCTCCCTCGGACTGGGGGTTCAGCCCTGGGCCCTCTTCCCTCAGAACCTTTGGGTCCAGACCCCTACCATCACTCAGAGGTGGCAGAGGAGGACTTGGGCTGTTTCTGCACTTTGAGTGGGCAGCTGTCCACGTGGGGAGAGTCACAATCCAGGTCAGATCGGGGGACCACTTCCGGTGTCATGTTGGTCCCACTCTGGCTGCAGGAGGACCTGGGGGTATTTGGGACTCCTCGTTGCTCCCCTGGCCTGGGTGAGAGGATGGATCATGAGAGGGAGGGAGGAAGGGAGGAAAGAGAGAGAGTCTCCACAGGACAGGGCGGAGCTGAGGAGAAATGAGGGATGACGAGAGAGAGGGCAGCACAAGCAGCGCCATCCCAGAAGAGAAGATGGGTATGAAAGTGAGAGGTACGAGGCAGACGGCTGGGGTCTCAGGACAGCAGCCCCGCACCCTCGACTGGTCACAGACTCTAAGAGGTACCTTGGCCCTTGGGGGGGTCAGGGGTCCCCACCATAGTGCTGGCCACCGTGAGGTTGTGCTGGCGGGTGTGTGTCAGCAAGTCCCTGGCGGTGTGTGTCGGTCTGTCTGTCCCTGGGGGGTCCTGTCTGGCCTCTGGGGGGTGACGAGGCAGGCCAGCCGCAGAAGCTCTTCAAACCTGTCATTAGCGGCGAGGGCCGTGACGGGCCGTGACGGTGGCCCCCCCAGTCCCAAGCCGCAGTCCGGGGAGAGGGAGCCCCGCCCCCCACCCCCTCCTTGATCCCTAAGGAATCCCGGGAATTGGGAAGTGGGTCCAGATGGTGTTGACACAGGAAACGGTCAGCAGCTGCCTGGCCTCAGCCCCACAGCCCCTCTGACCCACCACGCACCCCCCACCAGGCCCCCTCGAACCAGTGTCATCTCTGACGGAGGTAGTCCGGGGCCAACTCAGCACCCACCAGGATGTTTACAAGAGATCAGGGTAAGGACCAGGAGTCAGCCCTAGACTTGAGAAATGCGAGCTGGCTCTGACCCTCACTCTCAGACCCGGGGTTCGGGTCCAGCCTCCTCCCTTGGACCCAAGGTCCTGACTCAGCCTTCTCCTCAGACTAGTGATCCCTGGCCAAAGCCCGGGCACCCTTGGGACTGGAATTCCCTCTCCCCAGCTCAGTGGCTGCCGGCCGGGATGGGTGATCTAGGTACCAGGTGCCAACCTGCCCAGCTCTGGGTTCCTTTCCTTGAAGCCACACCTTTGTCAATTATGGGGAAACCAAAGGAAACAAACAGGAAACTCTGGAGTGCGGCTCCCTCTTTCCAGGTGGGTCAGTCTTAGATGGGCCCTGGCAGCAATGGCCTGAGTCACTTTCACTGCCTGCACCCTCATATCTTAGCCCACCTGGCTCTGCCAGGCCAACCCTGGCTCATGCTCCACAGAGAGGAGGCCTAGTATGGCCTAGATGACAAGTGCCCTGGGGCACCGTCAGGAAGCCTTCCCACAAGGGCTCAGCCTCCAGGTCCCTCCTTCTGCAGGTTTCCTGGTTGCTGGGGTAACAGTCCCTCCTAATGGGGCTCAGTGAGCCCCTCCCCCAGATTGCTAAGGAGTAAGACTCCCTAGCAACAAGGTTTTTCCAGGGCCACCTGAGGCCACCTTTGCAGGTATCCAGTTAGGAACAAAGGGGCTTTTGGGCAAGGTCTTCCCAATGGATCCCCTGGCTAGGGATTCCCAGTGAATGAAGGGGAGCTGGTACAGCCCAGGCTCTTCCTTGGGTTCTTTTTCCCTCTTACCAGTGGCTAAGGTGGTTCCCTAGCCTGAGGCACCTGCCAGGGACCTTTCCATCTGGGCACTAAAAAAACTACTTCTTAGCTGGGCATGCTGCCTGCCCCTGTAATCCTAACACTCTAGGAGGCTGAGGCAGGAGGATCCCAAGTTCAAGCCAGACTGGGCAAATTAACAATTTAGTAACTTTGTGAGGACGTATTTCAAAATAAAAAAAAGGGCTGGGGATGTAGCTCAATGCAAAGGCCCTAGATTCAATCCCCAGCACTGCAAGGGGAAAAGGTCACTTTATAGGTCAGATATGACTAGGCCAGGGGACCCTTGCTAAGGGGCCTCCTAGCAACAGAATTTAGAATCCTGGGGCTGGGGTAGGCAGGGCCCAGTGTCACTGGGGTGATGTCCCTTAAGGCGTGTCCCCACAGAGGCCCAGGAGTCTGGGGAGGCAACATGGTGGACTCAGGGATCCCAGCATTGGGCCTCTTCCACAGGGCCCAGTTGGTGAGGGCGCTGGCGGGAAGGTGGCACAGGGGCTGCTGAGGGGCCACCACAGTCCCCATATAACCTCCTTTCTCTCACAGATGGGATCGGAATCCATGGATTCTTCTACCCATGGAGTGAGCTGAAGCCCAAACCCTGGGGCTCAGGGAGAGGGCGCCTTGATTAGATTTTGGGGGGGAGGAGGCTGGGCCCAGACCCGGGTCTGAGGGTGGAGGCTGGGCCTGTACAAGTCTAGCATCAATAAGTACTAGCGGTGTCCCCAGAGTGTGACCATGGGAACCTGCGGGGCAGGGTCTGCTCTGACCATGCCTGCTGGTGGCCGCAGGCTGTGAGGGTGATGTGTGGGACCTGGAGAGCTGTAGGGGTCAGGCAGCCATCGAGAGCCCCAACCTCTGCCTGCGCCTGCGTTGCTGCTACAGAGATGGGGTCTGCTACCACCAACGGCCAGACGGTGAGGGGCCGGCCCTGGGCTGCGGGCGGGGGTGCAGCTGGACCCTGGTCTCAACCCTGCCTGTCCACGCAGAAACCATGCGCAAGAAGCACATGTGGGCCCTGGGCCAGACCTGTGGGGGCCTCCTCCTGATCTGCAGCATCTGCCTGTTTTGGTGAGCTGAGCTCCAGGCTCCGTGGGTCCTGGCCAGGTGCAGGGGCGGAGAGCTGAGGGTTGAGAGAGGCCCTGCCTCCCCACAGGTGGGCCCGGCGCCGGCGCCGGGACCTGCTGCACCTGCCGGGCTTCCTGCAGGGCAAGTGCGACCTGTCCAGGACGGTGTCGCTGCTGTCCAAGGACCGGACATCGACTGAAAAGAAGACTTCTGTCAGCCAAGAGGCCACTGGGGCGACTGGGATGGAAACTTCAGGGGGCAGCGAAGGGGAGAACGAGGAGGGTGAGGAAACAGAGGGTGAGGACGAAGATTAGGGATGTCTGGGGACCCTCAATACAGATGTGGCGCAAGGCGTGGCGTCCTTTCTGAGAGCCATGGTAGCGATGGCTCCGTGGCCCTGGAGCCTGGCGTGAGTGTACAACCGGGGGGCAGAGACCTCCCTGCAGGATCATGGGAGCTGGGGACAGAAGGACGAACTCTTGCCCCACCCCAGGCTGTGCAGCCCCCTCCAAGACAGACAAGCAGCGTGAGGGGCAGAGCCGTTTATCCCAGGGAAGACAGCAGGGGTGAGGACGTCCTGATGGCGGGCGAGGCAGGGTGGCTGCAGTCTCAGTCTGGTCCTGGGCAGTGGGGCCACGGGCTGGTCTGCAGGACGGAGGGAGGGCAGGTTAGCGGTGTTCAGCGGCCCCTCCGTCCCTGCGTCCCCCTCACCACCAGTCTCACATTCACCAGCCTGTGATCTTGCTCCTGGGATCCCAGGTGCCACGTGGGAGGCGTGGAGAGGCAGACAGGGAGACAGGCAGACGGGGGAGAAAGCGGACTTCAGTGCCAAGTTAGGAGTTTGGTGCAAACCTGTGACCCCGGCATTCTTGGAGGGGAGGCAGGAGGATCCAAATTCAAGCTCATCAGAGCCGAACAAATCTGTCAGAGGCCCAGCTCCCCTTCCTGCCCTGCTGCCCAGGTGAGGAGAAGCCACGTTTAACTGGTTCCTTCCCTTCTGAGAACACACTTCAGTCTCTTGTCCTGAGGCTCTGGTGGCAGCAGGGAGGGGCGCCCGCGCGGTGGACTTACGGGCAATGCCGAGGATTTTCCAGGGCAAATTTAAATACAGATGGCTATTTTCACACGGAGACGCCCAAGTCTACACTAGCTCGTACTTCACCTCTACACAGTTACTCATCCTGTCTTAGATCTGTTTCTTCCTTAGAGGTGGTGGGATTGACTTATTTTTCTGAGATCTCACAAAGAACAGTAGATAATTTATATTCTGATGCATAATGGAAAAGTTAATTCATCATACATAGATGGCTTACTTTTGGGGAGGGGTGACTGGATACAGGCCATTAAACCCTTTGCACTGAGCTACATCGCCAACCTTATTTATTTATTTATTTATGAGACTGGGTCTCGCTCTGTAGTTCAAGCTATCCTTGAGCTCACTGTGTAGCTCAGGCTGCCCTCGAACTCGTGGCAATCCTCCTGCCTCAGCCTCCTGAGTGCTGGGATTACAGATCTTTTAATTAAATTTAATTAATTAATTAACTTTTGAGACAGCATCTCACTTTGTAGTTCAGGCTGGCCCTGAACCCATTATGTAGCTCAGGCTGGCCTCGAACTCCTGGCAATCCTCCTACCTCTGCCTTGCGATCGCTGGGATTACAGGCGTGAGCCACCACGCCTGGTTTATTTTTTTTATTTGGAGACAAAGTCTCCATAGGTCGCTAAATTCCCCAGGCTGGGCTCGACCTTGAGATCCCCCTGCCTCAGGCTGGTATGACCGGTGTGCATCACCACGCTCGGCTAAGGTGGCACCATCCCGGGCCTCAGTTACTCCACCTTGGAGTGGGGACGTAACCACAGAGGCAGAGGAGAGAACTGGACCCGGCTGGAGTGGGGCGGTTCTCCAGACCCCGCGGGCACCCCGCCTCCGCCTTCTCCTGTGCGCGCTCACCTGGGGCTCGC